GATGTGCGGTCGAACACATCCCTGTAAATTACCCCTCCAACATATCCAACGCAGCGGTGTTCCCACAGCCAGTCACACTTACTTTATGGCGCCCGGTGTGGAGTGTGGGGGCAAATCAGTGACAGCACTGCCTGCGCCCATTAGATAACTTACGCCATCGGTAATGGAATGCTTTTGCACGAATCTCCCATTGTCTACATATTAAGAAGTTCAAGCGTCCATAATCACATTACAGATATGAACTTCAAAGCACCCAGCCGGGGTTGGAGCCTTCTTAGTAATCTGGATAGTAATCCCCTCACTACCGTTGTCTATCACGGCGTCCGCTACCCGTGTAGTTTATAAAATAAATGGTAAGATCGCATGTCCAACCACAGCGTACTTATTTGGTTATTTAGAAACATTCTGGCACCCGTTTGCACGGATGATAGGTCCAGGTCTTCTTTGGCTGTATTGGCGGATGTTTATACCGGTAGCTTTTATCTCATCCCACTGCTGAAATGCGTCCATAATGCCATGACTGAACAGCTGGATTTGGGCACGCTTCCCTCGATGGTCGCTTCCACCTTTTCAATCCTACGAGTTTGAAAACTGCACCAGCTGTCCCTCCGGAGCAGGTTCGTAATCCTCCACGGGGGCCGATCAGGATTGCCTTTCATCGATCAGCGCCAGGCACGTTCAGGTTGATATTCCACTGCAATTATGTGGCTCTGTCCACGCCCGCGATGGATCTATGCCTACTCGGTAATGCGTCGGTACAGGATGGCCACATTCCCGAGTTACTGGTTTTGGAAGACCTGCCTGGCCAACTCCAGGTTAGTATGACCATGTCGAACTCCAGAGGAGATGTTGTCTATGGTGTAACTGGCCTCATCGCCGTTCGGCGATACATCACTACTGCTTCTTAATTTCGTTAAGCGTGGGCTTCGTATTCGAAGCCTATCACCCGTAGCGGCGGCCCGCAAAGTAAAGCGGTAGCGTGTTCGATGAAACAGCTTTCGAAGTCAGTGACGCATGAGAACCTGTTCCGATGCAGCGAAGCGATGGCACTTTTCACCCGATCGATTAGCTTGGCTAACTTCGGGTCTACCCGTGAAGGCGCGCATGCCCAATCGCAGCTTGACCCTGTGAGTGGATTTGCTGATGCCCTGATACACCATCATTGGCCAGCGTTCTCCCTGCGCTTTCCAACAGAGGTCCCTGTAGCGAGTGAAACGCACATGCGGCTGTGTTCGATGCTCAACACCTACCGTTACCGGTGGTGATCTTGTTGGTGGTTTCTTGATGATGAAAAGCTCGACCTCACGTTCCGCACTAGCTTCGCGTTTGTGTCATTGTGGGAGGATCAGCGTGAGGAGTTGAGCGCCAGTCGAAGACAGTGCACCTGGTACAATGGGGTCATTAGCGCCAGGTTTGGAAATCTAACCAACAGCGTTTGATTCTGGTCTATCTTGCTGGGATTGTTTGGTGATGGTGTCACCCAGAGCTGTATACACGACTTTGACACCTAATTTGCGGCTCTCCGATCTTCTGAAGGATCTAGTTTTCACCGTGCATTGTTATATAAAATGAAATATACCAGTTTTAATACTAAATAATGGCTGAAGGTGGTTATGAGGAAATACCTATGGAGGATATGTGGGATGATAATATCCAGGATGAAACCCCTCTCGTTCCCTTAAGTACTGAACTTGTACGCAGTCGGCCCGTCGATGAATTGATACGGCGCAGTTGAAAATAAAGACAACATCAAGCCCGTTGGGGAGAGGACTATTCAAGTTTATGGTCGATAAGAAGAGACGCAGCTGCGATTGAAGGCTTACCCGTGGGCTGATATCATAAAAGAGCGGAAGCCATATGCTTTATGTCGAAACGCACTCACAAGTCGCCCTGGTGAAGTCAACTGCTCCGTGGGGAACTAGGCTTCATAGATTACGGTGGCATGCGGTCTAAGCTTCCCGAAGGTCGTCCAAAGATCTGCAAGTAGCCAGGGCCAATACTGGGGATGCTAAAAGAAACATCGGACAGTATCGAAAAAATATTGGCCTCATACCATGACAAACCCTTGCCTGGAAACACCGAATTTCCCCTGAGGAACTGCGAGGTTTAGGCGAAGCAACGTAAAACGTATGCGTGGAGGGAACTTCGTTAACAACATGGGGAAACTGAGCGAAGTCGATGAAGCATCATTTCGGCGAAAATAAAACTTCGCGAAGCAGGCGATGATATGAGGCGTGCCCGATGTCGAGGGAGAGAATAAAAACGGAAGGCAGAGGCGGTTCGGTTGGAATCCGCTTCCTCGAACCGGGAAGCCCTCCGATCGCCAGATCAACCCGGTACACGGAAACCATCGATCGATGGTTCACAAATGAAGACTTTCACGCTAGCTGACGGGATTGAGGACCCTGTTCGGGGAGCAAAGGCATCACCATCGCCAGCATTCTGACTGCACTGGGCTTCATCCTTATCAACCCTGGTGGTGTCACTGACAGGGGTACCCCACACCCCAAGTGGCGGCACACCACCAAAGTGAATTAGGGAACTGGATAAAACTTCGGGAAGCCCTGGCTAAACTGGCTGGTAAGGCCGCTTTGAAGCCCTACCTGGAATCCTGGGTGGCATCGTCCTAAACGTGGTTACTGAAGCTCTGGCTAGAAACTGCCCGTGGCGAAGCCGGTCAAAACCACCAGCGGGCAGCCCTTCGTAGCCGTGGTGAGTTTGGTGTATGTCAGTATTCGGGGAAATTTTTAACCAAATGAGCCCCCAAAGCTGCCCCACCAACCACCATGAAAGCTGATTTCACGATCGATGTACTTGCTGAGTTGGGACCCCTGCAGACTGGGGCTATGGGTGTATTATGTTGAACCTATAGGCTCGAGGGGTGGCGTCACTATACCGTTTCACCCGGTCGTGGGTGGTGGGACGTATGGGGAGACGTTGACATCCCGGTTGGCGGCTAACTTTTATTACCGTGATAACATAACTGTTTAAGTTGTTGTAGCCCACCCACTTTTTTGCCTGGTTGCATATCACTTTCGAGACCATGTACGGTCCACGTCGAACCACGTGGTCGACTTTCGACCTGGCTGATATTCCAATACGTCTTGGTTGTTGGCGTTTGATGGCGCTCGGGGAGATCAGCTTCTGGAGCATTAATAGCATCCTCAGCGTTGACCAGCGAAGACTGTTTTCTGGCCATTAAGTAAGCGGTCCCTTACCAAGGATGTTGGAGCAGGCGTTTCGCATCTACTTTCCCAACAAGCCCACCGCGTGCGGGTGCGAATTGAGTCGTTCAAACTGGTTACTTGACGCACGAGGTAAACCCTTTTCGGCCCGTGTCCGGCATAAACTTTTCCAGTCATCTTCTGCTCTGCACGAACCTCCGGACTCTGTAATCCTTTGCACTTGTTAGCGAGAAGCCGTGTAGCGGTCATCCCACTCGTTTGTTTGTGATATAGCAGAATGACTTGTATCTACATTCCTTCCAAGCTTCTGCGCTAGCTTCGACGAGGAACCATATTGTGAATGATGGGGATACCAACTAGGGTTCGGTCCCGGCAAGCGCCAATCCGTCTTCGTGTTTGGTTCAAGATTCGTTTAAAATACGTTCCGTAGGCCCGTCTATCGTACTGGTTGTTTACTGCATTCCCACGCCTTTTCCCGCAATGGGGCCCGAGCTGATCTCTTTGAGGATACGCCTGACCTGGTAGTACCGTGAAACGTGAACACGGACTGACTCAGTGGAGCCACGCTGAGTGTCAGTCAATGCCACACCACACCCGTTGCCAGCGCACCACACGGCACGAAGTTGAGTTGATTCTGCCAGAACTGCATCGGGTTGTTGAACCAGCGTGAACTACTATGGCGTTAGTCGCGAGAAACTTATTGCTGACCCGAACCACATCTATGAACTGGGTGTTGAAATACAACCGGCAGCGTCCCGCGATCATGTGGAAATCTCGATCCAGTTTAGGATAAAACACTCCAGGCTTGTACATTTAAAACTATTATATAATGAGTTTATATACTCTAGCATGTACATAACACTTCCAGGAATAGCGGTGAGGCCGTTCAGCTGCTTATACGATCGATAACGCGTCGGGTCAACTTTCGAAGTCGCGCACTATGCGATATCACCTACCTACCACGATGGACTAACATCAAGCCCTAGCAACAATAAACTGACCCGTTAGGTGGCGCCCGCAATCAGATAACTGAAGGCTACTACAAAGCGTATGTTCACTAAAGCGACGAGTCTTCAAACCATTGGGGCCGAACTCCAAGATGAGGCGACTCAAACCGGTACAGTGAATTGTTATTAACAACGGAAGAAACCCCTTAAAACTCAGTGTGACCATTAAAACGAGGACCTCCGGTATATATCGCCTGATGAGATAAAACCCAAAGCGACTACGTCACAGGCACTGAAGTTACCCGACCCTAGTACCGTACCGAGGGCTGTGCATTCATCTCAACCAGGTTAGCAGCGGACAACATTCAAGGGGTCACCCCTTCCACTATACCTAGAGAGCCATTACGGTGAAAGCGGAGAAATACAAGCGACGGCAGAACCGGGTCGTTTTTCACCCATGACGGTATAAGAGAGGTTAACCCAGGGCAACTATCCACTGAGCTGATAATATCGGTGTTAGATATAAATCATAATCTCGTGAATATAGGATACCTCGGCGTAACGCTTTGCCAAAATGACCAGCGCACAAGGTCCGGAATGAAGTTGAAAAAAATGCATCAATGTAGGGATCTCGATCTACGAAGGGACACACGCAGTTCAAACGACCCCACGAGTAGATGGTAAATTGTATGCATGCTTACAGCAAAAACAGCATTTACAAAGCGGCGTTGAAGTCCCCTCGATTGGTACTAGCAACCCTAAGTGATATAGTAGAATACCTCAAAGGCGGTAGTCAACACTAAGTACACCCTTATCGTAACCCGGTGATAACTGGATGATATACCACATCGTTAGGGGCAAACTGTTCGACTTAACCCGATGATGTGAGCACTACCGTCGCCAAGAAACAAACCATATCGCTTCGTCTTCACCGATGATGACAAAGTGGGTGTTATTACTGCGTAAAAGTCGAGCTGGTTTCTCAATATTAGGCTCGGTTCCCCTACGTGTTCACGGATAACAAGACAACCACCTAAATAAGAAGTCGTGAACAACGGAACCCTGCTTTCGTGGCTTACGTCCCGACTCAGGAGGGCGTGGCGTGGTCATCAACCCACTTTCGCCAGTATGGCAGCCCGCATGCTAGCAGAGTAAAGCGGGCATGCAAAACGTGAGTATTACAGTTGGTGGCTGAATTGAAGGCGTGGTCAGGATCCTGGAGAGTCTACCGGCGAACTCAGCACTGATCATCAAGTCTACCTAGGGGAACCATCGTGGGATGATGTAGAGAGATCGTGAAGGGGTCAAACTCGATTGGAAACAACAACAGTATCACCACGTTTGCAGCGTTTGCGTCTTGGTGGGTATCGACTCAAAACCAGTCTGCAGAGGTGTCACCGTGATGGAAGTGGAAGACACTATATCACTAACCAAGATCTTCCCTACCGACAACATACACTTCATGGGGGTGAAGTGCACCCTGAACTATTATCAGAAAACCAGTTGGAAATTATATAAGTAATAGTATTATAGCAATGTCTTGGCTTAGACCCAACACTACATTTAACGATCTAGGGGACCGCGGAGGGATTCGATCAGCCTGGTGAGGAAGGCGCCTTATACATCCTACACTTCAAAGGGACCAACGTGTATAGGCGGGTTATCGTTATCAGATTTTAAAGAGCCTGAATGGTTAGTCAACAACCCTCACTGCACCTTATATCACCTTGAGACAAGATGGTACTGTCTCGAGATTAAGAACAACGGCATAATTATAGGGCGTTGGTTTCGAACAGCCACAGTATATTAGCAGCAGGAGAGTTAGTTTATCAATCTAATACATATATCGCACCAATACCAAACCACTTTCGGGCAACATGGTAGCAACTTCCAGGAGAAAGTAGAGACATCAATCAAGCTTACTTAAGCACCAAAGAGGTCTTTAGAAATGTAAAGCGAGGAAAACTTCACATTCCTCATAGGCGTCTATCTCGGAGATATAAGTTTGACTAGTAATTATATTAAAATTATAGATGATATGCTGATAGGTTGGGAAGCCAGGTGTAATAACCAAGCGTTGTTGTATTATTAAGGTATCGGAAACAAACCTTTAGCAACCCTTGATGGGGTTAGTCTCCTTAATGGGCGATAGAGCTGAGACCCGGCTTTTTACGCCGCGTTAATCTAAGTATTATCGGCTTTAAGTACGTAATCGAAGGTTAAATACAACCCAATTAAAATATATTATGGGGTTGAACTATATCCCTGAACTAGTACCAGAACACTAGTTGGAAACTAGATGGGCTATTAACTGAAACCCAATTAAAATATCTTTTCGTAATATATATTATAGGATGGGACTGTACCCAGGCATAGATGAAGTAGTGAAGACCCTGGAAGCCGTAGGCGGGTTCGGCGAAATATGATTATCGATGTAAAACGTCAACTAGAACAAGACGCGATCTGTGAGAAAGCACTATATAAAAAAGTACCATAGAGCTTTCAATGCCGTGGACCAGGGACTGATACTACCCTTATGGCAGCCAGCATGGGCCTAGGGGTGGCAGGTGTTGGGTTGTTAGCTACCATCGTGGCCGCACCTATAGTGATGGGGCTCAGAGAAATAGCTTGGCTGGGGTGACAGGGGTGTTGGGGTTGGGGCTTAAGCTTGTATCCCGCCAGACTGCATCGTAAAGGCATTGAAACCGCGACGAAATCAGGGTTCTGGCTGAAGCAAAGCTGAACACGGTGAGTGAGCGTATTTCTACGGCACTCACTGACAACAAAATCTCAGAGGAGGAGTTTCGTTCAATCCTCTCTGAACTCACAAAATATAACAAAATGAAACAAGAGATTCGATCCAAGTCTCGTAAGTCTGCTGCTATCAGCGAGGACGAGAAAAAAAAGTACATAGAACAAGGGGTGAAAAAGGCCCAGCAAGCTTTTATTACGAACACCAAAGAGATCCTAGGCGATTCACGTTAAACTGTTTCATTGAGGTCAACGTGACATAGCGGCTTGCGTGGACATAGATAAAACGAACTACTTGAGGGATGGCCCAGGCAGAGGGTTTGTGAGAGAAGAATTATTAATCGTGCCGTATGACACAATGCTACCTCCGTCAACACGACATAGAGGATATTTGATCAAATAAACGTTTTCATAAGCAGTCCAACTAAAGCATTATTTAGGAAATAAGGCTTTCTGTACGGAAGTAATGACAGTAAAAATAAGGTATCCGACTAAAGCTTTATCTATGTAATAAAGCTTTAGCTACTATGATCAGGACTGTCATTCTGTCTACTACTTTTGTTTGTTTTGTTTTTTGTTGTTGTTGGGTTTGGGGTTTTTTGGGGGCAAGATTTCAAAATTGATAACGGGGGATGGGGTGGAGAGAGGAGATATATGAAAAGGACAGACAAGTTCACTTGAAACTTTAATTAACAGCAAATGCATTACATTATTCAGGTAACACTAGATCGACTGTTTATACAGGCTAATGCATCTCGCAAAATGTTCAGCTCTTATGAGAAAAGTCCAAAGTAGTTGCGTCTTCTGTCATTGAAAGAAAATGAACTCCCGGGCAACATCCACTAGAGATAGTTCATCAGCAATGGTTTTGTGAACATGCAGTAGCAGAACGTTGTTCAGACGTTCCTGTGTCATTGTAGATCTGACGTATGACTTCAGGCGTTGAAGCGCGGAGAAGGTACGTTCTGATGTTGCTGTGGTGACAGGAATAGTCAAGTAGATCTTCAAAAGGGTGCTTATCTCCTTGAACAGGTGCCTTATTACAGGCGATGAGTTGATAATTGATACAACAGTATCAATATTTGTGACTTTAATGATTAAGCATCCTCTTTCAGTGGAGACAGATTTCACTGTGTCATGAAGCATGGAGAGCTGTGTGTTCAATCGAACAAAGTCAACATCATCTTTGTAGAGTTCTCTGATGTGAAGATATTTGAAAGTTCCGTCCATTTTGCAGCAGACAGCAACAGTAGCTCTATCTCCACAGCAGTGTTAAATCCTTTCTGTGAGAATCTCCCTTTAGTTGCTCTGAAACGATGTCTAGACCTTCAAAATATTGTTGGCGATAATAATCTTCCACAGAAGGAAACGTGTGAGTATTAGATCCATCATCCAATCTCTTGGGCCTCTTCCGGTAGCGTGGTAGACGTGGAGGATCAGTTTTGTCTTCAGCTTCATCAACAACAGACTTGTAGAGACTCTGAAAAGTATCTGTACTCCTCAGCTTATCATAATACGCCAGTACTTGCTCTGCTCCCTTTTGTGCGACCTTTGCCGTTGTTTCTACGCTTTGAATGGACGAAGACAATTGCTCTGATGCAGCAAAAATTTGGGAAGAAACTTTCAGCCAAAAACACACTAAACTGGTCAAACTGTGAAAGTAAACCACCTGCAATCCTGGCATACTCATCGTGACCCCTATTGATTTCTTCAAATGCTTTTCGAAAGGTATCAAAGTTCTCCAAAACAGAGTTGATAGATCCTGTTCTAACTGTCCAACGTGTTGGACACAGAGAATCATCAGCCAGAGTTCTTTCAGTTTGAGGCACATCCATGTCAAGACGCTTCTCAATGGAAGGAGCTTTTTGAAGATTCTTGAATAGGTGTTCTCGTTTTGGAGAATATTTAATGAGCTTGTTCACTTCAATTGTGATGTCAAGAGGCATCCCTGAGAAGGTTTGCATGCTCTAGTGGCTTCCTGCAAAGCCAAGTTGATACAGTGGGCGAGGCAATGGACATGAACTGCTCGTGGTTCTTTTCTTTGCAGTTGGACAGCAACTCCATTGACATAGCCTTGAAAATTACTTGCACCATCATAGCCTTGACCTCGGCAATTCGATAGTGGTAAGTCACAACGGATAAGTGTGTCTTTTAGTACTTCTGTTAGTGTTGCTGATGTTGTGGAAGGAACCACATATAGGCCAATAGCATCCCTCATGGACACTGAAATCATTATCCACCCAACGGATACATATGACAACTTGTTCTTTGTTTGATATGTCTCTTGTTTCATCCGCCATGACGGCAAAGAACCTGTCAGCTTTGATTCTCTCAAGAATCTTCAGTCGCACAGCTCGGCCCAGGAGCATCAATTGCTCATTCACAATTGCAGGTGACATATATGTTTTCTCAGATAACCATGTTGGCAACCCCTCTATGTCAGAACCTCTCAGTTTCAGAAGCTGAAACAAGTTCGATTCCTCTTCAATACGCCCTCGAAGCGCTAATCCTTGCCTTGATAAGAATAAGAGACATGACAGCTGCACAAGCAGAAGGTTTCGTCTGCACTGCTGTTCCTTGGTAACTTTTGCCAGAAGTAAACTTGTGACACTGTCATTACCATGTTTCTTGTGTTTTGCAAGGGCATCTCTGTGATATGAACTCTTATCATGCTTTTTGAACTTATCTCCAGACTTTTTCCAATTGTTGAAACCTTCTGATATGAATGTTGCTTCAGGTTGTCTGGAGGTAAGATGCTTCTGCAGATCACTGTCCTTACCGTAAGCCAGTCTACAATAAAAGCAGAAAACTTTGTTTCTTGTTGTACACAGAGTAAGCCAAGGATATTCATGAAACGAGAATGATCTCCAAGGTTTTGTAGTTGTCTTTTTCAAGGTTGATGCAGCATTTGGCTGATAAGGTTCACTAATTTCAGAACAACAAGATGAATTGCACACATGATGACGTTCATCTTCATCACTGCCGGGCGATGATTAGGGCTCAGATGTCAGAGAACTCTCCATTGAAACATCCTTACTCTTGCTTTCACTGATGATGTCTGGAACTGGGTTTATATGAGACTGAGAGTCTTGTGTCCGGAGAAATTCTGATGGTTTTGTCTCACATTGAGATTGCTTCTTGCTCTGAACTGAAAACATAAAATCCAACGTCCTCTGTTTCTTTTGTTTCTTTTTTTGGTCACTTTCTGCCAAGTCAGCATCAACATGTTTTTTCGCAGTATCCAAACAAGCAACAAAATGATTTGGTGACCAGCTCTTAGTATTTGTGTTTGTACAATGTGTCCACATGATGCAGACAGGTTCCTCCTCCACATCATTCAGAGGGTGTATTGTTTGATCAAGTACATGTCTGTTTGTAGCCACATATTGGATTTTGGGATAGATAAATTGAACTGGTCGTTTCAGAACACTTGGCAAACTAAACATGTGTAAAACTGATGAATATTCTCCATTTCTTGTTGTTTTCATCACTAAATGTCTGTAACGCTGCATGTTGTCACCCTCTGCAGACTGACTTTCGGATGACGTCAAAATATACTGTAACAGTGATCCGTTACCTTCGGCTTCAGAAACACTTATCAGTTTTGATTCATTTAAGTAATGTTCTTCATTGATGATAAGATCAAAAACACCTCTCACTCGAAGTTCAGTATAATAATCTTCAAAACCAAAGCAGAGTTGAGAGGCTGACCTCCAAAAACAGTTTCCATCTCCATAACATCTGACTGGGGTAAGATGTGTAGGAGCATCATCTGGATAAAACATTCTAGCAACATGATCAATACTGAATTGCATATTGCTATAGTTTCATAAATGATTTAAATCCAGTTCAAATTTGTAAGTGTTTGACTTTTGCAATTTCTCCACAAAGAGTGTCCCAGCCCTTGTCTGCAGCTTTAGAATACTTCACAAGAAGGTCTTTAATAACTTATTCTCTTTATATTTGGTCTTAAATATCTACAAAATTGGAGTCACTGTCATTTTTACTTAATTGTTAATCATATTTTGGGTGCTGACAAATAGAACAATAGGGTACTGAAAAACAATAGTTTTATAGTATAAATATATTATAATTACATTCAATAACAAGGCCCCCGCTTATAGTCTGATCGCCTTCAATACCATTATTGAATACCAAAATAATATTTTAGGAAAACTTTCAATTTTGGCATCATGCAATCGAAAGCCAAAATCCACAATGGCACCATAAGGGTAAGTTCCATGCCAAATTTGAAGTTTGTAAGAGGTATAGTTTTTGAGTTATGCTCAGAGAAACCATTCCGGACGCACGGACGCACGGACACACGGGCGGAGCGCTATATACCAGCGACTACGTCGTAGCGGGGATATAATAATGCAGCCATTCTTATTTCATACATGAATTCGGCTTTCAGATAAAACCAGCTCCCTCACTGCCAATGTATGAGTTTGAAATCGTGTCTTATTGTTATTGTTTAGATCTTCAATAAATAAATCAAACAGCACCTATTATACTTAAAATATGGCTATTACTGTAAACTAAATGTTACTGTATAGACTACACTGTAATGTCAATGTATGTTGTCAACTTACCGCTGATTCGAATCCATGTTGGCTGTTAATAACAGCCTGACTGCCTCTACTTTCACTTTTGGGTGACATGAATTAAAAAATTTGGATTCTATCATTAGCGGAAAAATGTTTTTTGATCATGTTACTTTTTCAACGTTACCAGAGGCTAGAATTTGTGTTCAATTCTCTATTATGGTCCCTAAAAATATTTCCAGCTTTCCTATTTTTTCTGGGGGGCAGCTCCCCAACCCCCCAGTTCATACGCGTATGATATCTGAATCTGAAGCATCACCCAACGACAGATCTCCAGCTGGTTCGGCCCGACACTTAATCGAACGCTAGTTGTGGACGAAAGGCAGCCATCGGCAAGGTTTATTTGAAGAATGGAAACATCTTTGATATGGAATCTCACTGTCTCTTACCACGCCTTGGAGTACGTTTAATGGACGTGTGTGCATACAACCAATGGCCCCCAGGCTTAGATCACAATAAAGACGACATGAGAACCACATCATCATGCAAAATCGATGAATAAATATCATTCCAGTTATCTCCCCACTCAATATATAAGGATAAGGGTGTCGGAGGATGTACAATAAACGCGTCCCACGCCCTCGGTCTTCGTTCTATCTCCTAAAATTGAAATCGGCCATGGAATCGATGGAGCTGATGCCAAGGGTTTCCGTTATCTTTGCATCAAGTCAAAATATGCGTTTCTTTCTTCACAATGTATTTCAGACGCCCGGGATCACGTCTCCGAGGTAAATCACGAAATAAATGACCTTCCAAATAACCTCATTGAGTTTAAACGCGTTGGCCTTGACCCTCGACGTCAAGGACGCTATCATGCGAAAGATCGATAGCAAAGTTTAACACAACAAAAGTTGTATTCTGGTATCACCGTGACCCTGTTTGACAAATGTCAACGTGTTCTATCAGTACAAAACAAAATATGTAAATAATGTCTCTCTTATATGCCTATAATGAACATTCCAGAACAAAATGTAAACCATTTTTCTCCATGTTTTGAAAACAGCTGAATTCCACAGGAGATATTGTTTGAGTGAGATCACGCAATGTCTCGGAGACTTCAGTGGAAATGAATCACAGTTCTGTGCAGATCGTTGCCATGACATCACAATCAAATGATATCACCAATCCCTCTGCCACTGGAACTGGCTAGTTGTACCTGTTTTAACTAAAAAATGGTAATTTGGAGACAAACCAACTGTGATGTAAATTTATCGTCGTCCCGCTGCAGATTATTTACCTGTTACATAATGGAAACGTGCACGCGCTCTCACTCACTCACTCGCTGTTGTTATGAACAGTGGTAACGGTAGGGTATTGGGTACGTCTAAAATGATCACTATTGCATGGGAAATTGTTTTCATTTTGACCTTCACCTTGCAGGTATTGCAACCGGAAGTGTGTACAATGACGTCACACTGAAGCAGCATGGCTTCCCCGGGGAGGGGTTGAAAGACGGCCGGGTGGTGATGGTGAAGACCCACGAGTGGGGGAGTGAACATCGCCGGGCGTTCTCCCGTGCCGTGCTCCTCATCCGGGACCCCTTCGACTCCCTCCTGGCGGAGTTCAACCGGCGTAATGGGGGTCAAAGAGGTCATGCCCTTCCACATGATTTTTCCAAAGGTAGGTTAAGGACGGGCATGGGTTATCCGACAAACATCAGGGTTTACAACCACCGTACCCATTCAAGAATCGAACCTGGGACTTACCCATTGCCTGCTTTAATCATCGGGTTATCCATCAATCGGGATCAAATATAAAATATTTTGGATGGTATTTATATTTTACTCATATGACACGTTTTCTTCAAAGCTTTCAACCGGTTCACTGCACATTTTTTCATTTGGCAAAAGTGAGAACAAATGACCCACCGAATGAATGAATGAATGAATGAATGAATGAATGAATGAATGGGTTGTTTAGTCAGCCTCCAAGATCTCAGCCACCGCCTGTATTCTCGTTTAGGGAGACAGTAGCCCAGTCAAGTCATCACTGTACTTCTTTCAATTAGAAGTCTTGTCGAGACCTTAGGAACTCATCTGAAGTGTCGTACAACCAGTTGTGTTTAATGAGATGTATACCTTTGTGGGACTTTGGGAGTCAGACAGCCCAAGTAGACTTGTGGACAGAGTGTCTGCCAGGAGTGTGTAAAGTCCAGAAAGAAGAAATATGCCACATGCTACCAAGTCTGGCCTTAAGGGAATAAAACAACGGTTTTGCCACGAAGTATGACCATTTATGGATCCTTCCTTACTACTCCAACTTCTAAATGCCTCTCAAAGCATTTAGTGGACCTGTGGATTCTGAATTACCACACAGTGTCTGAATGGGGTACCTATCGTGAACAGCGGCTTGGTATCTCAATGGGCTAGAACCAGCGTTAGTCTGTGGCAGAACAAACAGCTATACACATGGCTGTGAAGAGGTGAAGTACTGTCTGTATATCCGTGGCTCACCGTGTTGAGACGCCACGCCAGACTCTCCTCTCTCAAATCAGCTTACAGCAACATAATCGGGTGGCCCTCTAACGTAATAACGATGACACTGGTGGTATTTTTGGCAGGTAAAGAGCTGGCAATTAAGGGTTTACAAGATGTTAGTGACGAGTATCCATGTAATCGAGATTTGGTTCCACCATTGATTTAAATTTATTGGCAAACGTACGTCTCTCTCCAGTAACGTGGGTGGGTGGACATGAACACTGATTGGCTGAAATTCGATGGGCCACTCCTCATTATGCAGTACCGAGACCTCCAGACCAACATGCTCAATGAAACCAGAAGGCTGTTCAACTTTCTGGACATGCGCGTCAGTGACCCGGAACTCGTGTGCATGGTATCCAACGCGCACGGCAAATTCAAACGACCAAAGATTCAGGTGTCACCTCAAGTTCCATACACGTCCTTCATGCGATCGACAATCAGAAATTATATACAGAATGTAACCAAGGAAATACAAAACTATTATAAACTACGAAAAAGTTAATTTTTCATGTCAATAAAAATATTTTGTATTTCTTGTACATACATGTTTGCACTGATTTGTTTTTTCTTACACGTTTGGAGATGGAAAACATACCTGATGTACAACGATTTAGTAACCATGGCGATTGATCCGCTGTACAATCGATCACCTGAGTACTTGAGTAGCTGAGTTAAGTGTTTTGTAGCTTTACATAGTTATCTACACTTACTGGTGACTTTGGCGTCTCAAGTACAGATCTAGAGTTGCGTCCCTTAGGCGCGACAGAAATGTATAATTGTGGTTTCGAATACCACATTCGCCAAGTGACCCGTGAAGATCCGGGCTAGAACTGATCTGCAGCAGTCCATGCTTGTCGTAAGAGGCGACTAACGGGATCGGGTGGTCAGGCTCGCTGACTTGGTTGACACATGTCATCGGTTCCCAGTTGCGCACATCCATGCTCATGTTGTTGATCACTGGATTGTTTAGTCCAGACTCGACTATTTACAGACTGCCGCCTTATAGCTGGGATATTGCTGAGCGCGGCGTAAAACTAAACTCACTCACTCACCCACATCACTCACTCACCCATTTACTCACTCACTCAATCACTTTCCCAGGACTCACTCACTCACTCACTCACTCACTCGCTCACCCACCACCCACTCACTCACTCTCTCGCTCACTCACCCGTATTCAACGTGAGGGCAATCCAGCAATACATAATTCTCCACCAGACTAAATACGGTAACTGCCCGAGACGGTTCAACGAAAATCGTGAAAACCCTCGCCTCAGTCGATACCGACATAACCCGTGAATGTGCATACGTCTGTGTACACTACAGTTGCATGTAAGTACAGTGATAATGATTTAGATCGAGGCCGGACGACCAAGCGAGGGCTGCTATCTATCTAGATATCTGTACAAGGCACTCTACAGCTCACAGTGCAGACCAGCACGTTACAGTCGGCTCGATATACGGAATGTGAACAAGGAACACTAAAAACTGTGGAACACTGATCGGACGCCGTCTCTCAGACTCCAAGAAGATGATGACAGGAGTGAAGGTGTTGCCACCGAAAGATGATGAACACCTTCCGGCGATTCTATCGGCGTCTCAAGTCTTCGGTGGTGTGTGTCGTTGTATACATCGTCGTAATTAACATCGTGTGCCTGTACTATCTGTCTCGGTCTCCGTCGCCGTGGATTTCCCATCATGGACCGTTCTTTCTAGCTCACCTGCGACGCGAGAGCTACACGTGCAAGACGATTGGGTTTTCCCCCACCCCGATGCCGTTAACTGCTCTGGCTAGTTTCCCTGGGTCGGGCAACACGTGGTTGAGGCACCTCGTGCAACAGGCTACAGGTGAGTGAAAGCTAATTTACACCTGAGAGGCAGATATGATTATTTATGTGTTGAGGTTTGAGGTAAGTTCGTGGATCACACGACATCTTAGTTACATACACACGGGACATAGTTCTGTGTCAATTTTGTAATTAAAACATACATAACATACATAAATAACACATATTTCGGTTGAATAAAATGTATGTTCAGTACAAGTTTTACCAGCATCATCATCATCATCATTTTTATTACAGTGTATGTGTTATCACACAAACATATAAGATAAGTATTCTTAACCATTTGTATTTAGCTATCTCCAGAGTACAAAAAGGTTTTGCTTTGCACCGTATAACCCTCACCATGCACCTGATTACATACAGCCATAAATGTCCGTGTGGCACGATGACCTGGTATCTGAGCCCTGCGAGTTGACAGGTTCAGTATCTACCCAATGATGACCTGGTATCTGAGCCCTGAGAGTTGACAGGACCAGGTTATACACAATGGTGACCTGGTATCTGAGCCCTGAGAGTTGACAGGACCAGGTTATACACAATGTTGGAGCAGTATGTTATACCACAACAGTCTGTAAATGTCGAGTCAGCAAACCTGTGGTTGATAACATGAGCATCGGTCCACGCCACGTGATGAGCATGACGACATACAATCACCCAGGTGACACAGGTAACAGCCTAATACCCTTCTGACTCGTTCGACATACATTGGAAATGTTGTATATGTATAATTGTAAACAGTCATAAAACGTTATCCGAAGTTCGACACAACCACAAAATGATGACTCATTACGGGATGGCTCGTTTACTTCGACACAACCGTGAGTTCGACTCATCAAAGGTCGACACAACAGTATTTGACTGCCATTATATATTTTTATGCAATAAACAAATTGTTTATTCCTGACCATGATCAACTAAGAGTTAAGAGCAACATTTGCAATCAATATGTGCTTTTTCCTCTACGCACTTTCATAGGTCAATGCAACCCATGTCATCGTATCCCAATTGCGTAGATCGATGCTCATGATGTTGATCACTGGATTGTCTGGTCCAGACTCGATTATTTACAGACCGCCGCAATATAGCTGTAAAAATTGCCGAGTGAGTAAAACTAAACTCACTCACTCACTCATAGGTCA